AAACACTTCAAGAGGAGTGGAAGAAGAAGGGATGGAGATAAATAGAGGTCGTGAGACATAAAGAGAGAGGTAAACGGTGTGAATGAGAACGAGAGAGGTGGCGAAGCGGGAAAAATCAGAGAAAAGACCAAAGAGGAGGGCAGAGAAGATGGAAAGAGGGGAGACGAGGAAGAAGGAAGAGGGGAGAGAGGGGAGAGGGGAGGAACAGAGTCCAGGGTGCCATGCTATAGTCCAGAGACAAAAGCAAATAAGATGGATCAAAAGTGAGGAAGTGGAACTGCCGTCGGGGGCTCCTCTCTTGGGAGGCCCTTCTGTCCTTTCTCTGAACAGGATTTGCCACGTGTTTGCTGGGCTCCTGGAGTTCTGGACTGGGGGGTGACTTCCACTGGGCGCAGCGTTCTCCTGGGGAGCTGTGTGATGGGGGAGGCTGGGCCACTCACCTTTGGTTAGCTAGGATGCCCCTGATGCAAGTCTTTACGGATTCTCCATTGAGTCCCCCAGTGCCCAGTAGCGTCTCAGAGGACAGATGCTTACAGAATGAATGCACTGATGGAATAAAGAAGCGGCTAGTGAGTACTTCTAAAATGAGACCTTCTTATTCTGAAGCCGTCTTACATTTTTTAAGAGTTTTATAGTTTTACACAGTCGTTGGGTTCATCAAGAGAAACTCACACACGCATGGAATTCGATTCCAGCTCACGATCTCCTCCTATTCCCTCCTCTCCTTCCCCATTCTCCTTCCCCGACTCTACTAGACGTCCTTTCACTGGCCTCTTTATTTATATTAGATTGAGAACCTAGGTTTTCGAAGAGTAAATTTTGTTGTAAAGTTTATTTAGAATCCTCCACCTTGTATTATTTCTCCACTCTTGGTCATTTTCTGGCTCATGTCACCAATTATATAACCCCCGAATTAGTTCGCAGTGGAAAGAGATCAATACTAGACATAGACAGATGAGTGCACCTCTGAGAAAATTGTGTCATTATGGTTTGTGGACTATGAAATTGCAGAACACCACCGGGCATATGCCAGCGAGTTTCATGGAAGGCTCCTTCAATGAGACGTCATTAATTTCTAGAATGCAGTGAATGAAGCCCACCACAGACGGCCATTTGTTTTGATGTACTCCAATTACACTGTATTACTGCTACATTCATAAAAGTAATGCCACTGACCTGCCGTCAGTTGCCCAGGCACTGGAGACAGCTTCCAAGCCACTACAAATGGACCTACTTACCTCAGGACGGCAGCCAGCTCAAGCCGTGGTCAGCGAATACCTCAGCCCCAGATGAACGTTTATGCAACCTCAAGACAACTGCCTCCACCCCAGTCCACAGAGGTTGGCTGCTAGGATGACCATGACGCTCTCCTTGCTTTTCTTCTCCTGAGAGATTGGCCCAAGAACAGGCAGCCAGGGAGGGCCAGCTGGACAAGAGAGAGCACAGAATATCAAGGCTTCTGTAAGTTTTATTTGTTGCCATTATTGGGTTAAACAGCTCAGTAATGGACCCTTTTCTTTCTACATCAGCCCAGAGGAACATTCTGGAAATCAGAAGGGGAAAAAAA